TATAAGTAGATTATTATAAATAAATAAGATAATTATTGTTTAAAACGTGTATTTAACAACAGGTGCATGCTGAGTTTATTATTTGTATAAACTTTCCGATTTATATAATCTTAAAATACATTTAAAAATCCTTATTTTTTATAATAAATAAATTTTTAGAATTTACTAAACTTTTTAGTGTAATATTTTATAGTTAATTAACTCATGAATAAATAAATTTTTAAAATTAAAATTACAATTTTTTTTATAAATAATTTATGTGGTTATTTTGCACAGATTAAATGTCATTATAATATAAATTATTAAATAATACCATTATTTTATGATTAATTATTATTATGTAATTAAGTTTATGAGTTTGACATATTGATTATATTTATATGATATAGTATTTACTGTAAATGCATATGCCACTTAATAAATTTATAAAAGTTATGAAATATTTTAATTTATTACAAAAAATATTTTAAATAAACATAATAATTGTTGGGCAATACAATTAATAATAATATGCAGTAGTATTATGTGCCATAATATAATAATTTCATATTAATATTATAAAAACATTATGCAATAAATGTTAAATCATAATATTTACTGATACTACAGTGCAGTAGTCAAATCAATATCTTTAAAATATTATAACATATTGAATATCAATTAACTTTATAAAAGTTATGGAATATTTCAGTTTATTACAAAAAATATTTATAAATACATTTTATAATAATTGTTTGGCAATACAATTGAACAATCAATACTAATGAGCATTAGTATTATGTGCACTAATATAATAATAATTACATATTAATATTATAAAAACTTTATGCAATAAATCTTAAGTCATAATATTTAATGATAAATCAATAAATCAATAATATCTGTAAGATATCATAACATATTAAATATCAACTGACTTTAGTATGAAATACAGCACTAGTAGTATAATTACTATCATAGATAAACCAAACGAACTAGATAAAGTTATAAATGTTATAAAATAATCTCATTGAATATATAATTTACATATACAGTAATACTCTACCATTAATAAGTGGTGGCATAATATTTAGTACACAAAAATGTTTGCGAGGTTGAAAATTGTACACAAAAATGTGAAATTGTTTGTCAAAAATAAATTCAATGACTTTTTGAATGCAAACACCGATCCGTCAATAGCTGTGAATAGGTTTCAAACATTTATTACGAAAACATTTCTATTTATTCATACGTTTGACGAATACGTGAATCGCGTAACTCGGACCAGACGAGTCATTTTGGTGACATTTACCCGGCTTATCACGTTGCTCGTGGGGTTAAGGTATGGAATATCTGCGTTGAATGAGCCTAATGATCTAGTTAATTATTTACTATGCGATCCCAACTATATCATTGGCGATCGACGGCTAATATCGTGTTTCCTATTCATTGAGTGCTTCATAATATTAGGTGTGAGCGCCACCATCCAATACCAAGAATTGCGACAAACATTATACCCATGCACCTTTTACTATAATTTTAAACGCAAACGATTGGATCCAAAGTTGAACGCTAAAAATGATCGCAAACTAAATTTGCGATTTAGCATGCTGACTAAATATTGCATGTTTCAACTATTTTATATTGTAGCCGCGATGCTATCGGTAGTTTTATCGCTAGTCGCGGCACTGGCTTATTTGGACCCCGACACTGGGCACCCATTAGTGGGTGTAATTTTATGGCAAGCATGTGTGAATATAACAATTGCACAATTTTCTAGCTTGGTGTGGTTTGGATTTATTGGCGCATTCACTACAGTCTCGTATCTCAAGTATAAATACAGTGAAGTAAACTATAAAATCAGACAAAACACAAGATTTAATAATAATGTTAAGCTTATGGAAAACATTGGTGAATATAATGCAGTGTGTATTATTACACATAAACTCAATGAATTTATGAAATACATGCTTTGCATAATTTATTATATTGTTACACCCGGATTAGAAATACTACTATTTCTAACATTTGATGAACACTCGACTTTATTAAAAATGTATTTATTTGGTAGTATATTTATTTTGGTATTTTGTGGTTCTTTCATGGTAAATATAATGTGTACCACGCTTAACACCACTGCATACAAATACCATTCAATACTGTATTCATATATTTGCGCTAAAAATACGCGAATTTCGTATAAAAATAGACTGAAATTAATGGCATTTATGGAGCGATTGTCGGCCAAAGACATTGGTTTATATTGTTATGATATGTTTCTTATGAATAACTATGAGTTTTATCAGTTTTTTGTAATGTTTATTAGCAATCACTTTCTATTATTAAATTTCTTAAACTAATAACATTTTGATTGCTTTGTTAACGTTTTTCAGTATTTTAATTATGCCATGATACCCTGTAACAAACAATAAAATAATGAATTTTTGTTTACTCCGTAAATTATTTGTTAATAGTGAAATGTTTTAATAGCTTAAAAATTTATTTTTAATTTATAATATTAAAATATTGTGGTATTATTTTTGAAATGTATAGTCATTTATCAATTTTATTATTCAAGTAGTACAGTATATGTATAGCATAATAACATGCAATGTTCATATAATCAATATATTAAGTAATAATTTAAAAGTCTTCATATAATAATTAAGCATAATATTAACGACTGCGATAAATATCAGTATAATTTGCTTAATAGGATAGGATCTGGGTTATTTTTACAGCTATTCTTCATTAATGTAATAATTTATGAAAACATAGTTTTATTAATTTTTTTCATTGAACTCGTGTCCATATTCTGATGGCTTGATTACGTGGTCTCACTTCAGCCAAGGAAACCAAAAAGTTTAAAAACAATGGATTTTTATAATCGTTATAATCTCCAGAAAACATGTCATTACTGTAAACGCCAGGTGTTAGGGATACCCAATCAGTAGTACGATTTTTAGGACCATACCCATGGATATCTACCGTAACTAACCTTGGTGAGTCACTCTCTTGAATTTTATCGTTAAACTTAGTACTACTGCCGCCCTCCGCTCTGAAAAATAGCCCAGCATACAATGGAGTAATATTGTCCCAGACCATTTTGGGCCACAGTGTTTTTGGTTCAGGTTGGTTTGGCAATTGTACGTGTATGTAACCAATGGGGATCGTATTTTTCTCATTCTCTGTCAATTTGTCCATTAATTTAACAATAGGTTGTTGCATGTGTTCACGTGACCATAGTTGACCATTTTGACAAATTACAAGATTTCTTTTGGTGCAAGGTTCATCCACACATTTACCAGTATTGGGTGCTTTTGTTAAACCAAGCTAGGTTTATAATTAGAAAAATATGCTAATAGTCCAAATCTTATAATAAGTCAATAACATACATAACCTCATAATTATGGCGATTATGAGACGCCGTTGACTCCAGTATCCAGACATGTATTCATCGTAAGTTGAAATCACTGTACAATAATTCCTGCTCATGAAAGTCTCTATGTGTGTGTTTGCTATAAACATGTCACGCCTCATAATCTTGATTATTTTTGAAACTTGTTGACGTTTGCCACGATTATGATTATCCATTATAATTAATATAATACTAATTTATAATACTAAATAACTCGTAGTAGTCTGTGATATAAATGAAAACAATGAGCTAATATATCATATATAAAACTAATGATTAATTGAGGTTAACTTTGGGAAAATAATTTCAAGATATTTATAATATAATATAGTATATTAATACAGTACTACTGTATAGTACTAATCACAATGTTACGTGTCATATATTTTAATAATATTTTAATGAACTGAAATTTTTTATAAATAAGTTTAACTATAGTACTGCAATAATAATATTGAAATACGAATTATGAAATGAAATAAATATAAATGTTGTTAAATCAATAATTTTATCAAATAATGATATAATAACGATATGAACTCATCATGCTACACAAAAACTTCTACATGTACTGTATATTAAATACTGATAAATGTCCTTAAAGAATAAATATAAAAATGATTTTGTATTAAAAAATCACAAACTTTACAGTTCAAGGCAATAAAAATGGGGTTTCTTGTTAGCTAGCTAAATATTTATTTATGCCAATGTTTAGCGATTAAGTAAATTATGAATTGCATTGAGTTGGACCGCACTATACGCCCTGTAGGCATCGGCCGACTACAGCCAGACATATGACTGACAAACATAGCCTTCATATCTGATATAATTAATAAGTTATTGAAAAAATATCTAATTGTTTATAAAGTCTAAATAAAAAGTTTTATAATTGTTTAATAAATATCGGTATAAAAAAGATTGATTTTATTCATTAACCTAAGTATTTCATTACCAATTTCACTTGCACCACTTTAAACCCATACATTAAGATTGTAATTATATTTTAATTATAGAGCCAGTTTATATTAATCCTATATTTTTGTATAGTAACTTAATTGAAAAATATAATTGTACTGAAAATTAATATAAGTTCTAAAAGTTATCTATGTTAATTAACAAATTCTATTATACAATTACATTTCAAAATGATCTAATCATATACGGTATGTTGATTAATGTGCCATTTAAAATAATTAATAACTTCATACCATATAAGTGATAAGTTTATTAACTATAATATTCTTGAACAAGCTAGATTGCTTAAACACAATAGCATTTATTTATTTTTATATTTATATTAAATATAAATGTATAAGCAACAAATTAAGTAATTATTACCATACTTAAAATCTTTACGTATATCTGGTTTCCAATGGATTTTTACTGATTAACAAGAAAATATTTTTATTGCCTTTATACTGTATTATCATCATAATAACATAATTATTACATACCGTTTCCATATTAAAAAACATTATAACCACAGTATGTTTATTTTTATTTTTAATGTGTTTAACAACTTGAATCACAAAAAAATCGTATATATGACATTTATATTATTAAAATTTAAATAAAATTATTATTACGCATATTATGTACAAAAATGGCTACATATATGCGAAAGTTTCCCATTTGTAACAAAATTCCCGAAACGTTAAAATTAAACATTAAATTCATTCATGTGTTCAACGAATACAACCCAAACACTCAGATATACAACGGATATAACGCTCTGATTATTACAAACGATGATAAGGTATACGGTTTGGGAGACAATTTCTGGGGGTCTCTCGGGTTAGGCCATAATAAGTCTATCCAATCGCCGCAACTCATACCCGAGTTATGTCATCAGGGTATTCAACGGCTTATTAATGGAGTGACTTTTGTTATATGTGTTAATTATAAATACAACAAAAGTAAGTTTACTTACGAAATGAAAGCCAATAATATAAATATTATTTAACATTCATTTCGTAATTAGGATTACTTTTTAAACATACATGCTAACTTTTGTTATATTTATTTAGTGAACCAGGTGTTCAGTTTTGGGGACAATTTTTACGGACAATTGGGTAGAGATATTGTGAAAGATGACTATTTTATGAAACCTGAAAATATGACGTTTTTCAATGACCTGGATATCACTGATATTAGCTGTGGATTTGCTCATACATTAGCCCTCACCGCCAACGGACATGTATACGGTTGGGGACACAATAGTTGCGGACAATTAGGTAGCGCTGGAATTGGAGATTTTAGGCAATTGAAACCAATCAAGATCAATTTTCCTAATGAGCATAAAATAAAAACTATTTATTGTTACTTTAACTTTTCATTTGCTATAACTATTGATGGATTTGTATATAGTTTTGGCTTTAATATAGGTATGAATTGGTAAGACTATTTTAAGCTTGAACAAATTGAGTATATTTTTATGTATTCATAAATATAGGTTATAATCTGGGTCATGAGATACACCCAAACGTATTGACCCCACAATTGATAACTCAATTAAAAAGCATTAAATCTATTTGTTGCTCAAATTTAACGTATTTTCTGTCAACCGATGGTGTGATATATACTTGTGGTGAATGTCACGAAAATCAAATGGAAGTCATAAATAAAACTCCAGTTCCTCTGAAAACTGATATTAAATTTACGGAATTCCCGAAAATTGATATATCGGACAACTGTCCAATAATTTTAGCCAAAGACCAGGCTAATAATATTTATTATATCTACAATACAAACAAAATTATTAATACTGACTACACGTGTTTTGGTGACTATTATACCAA